AAAAGATTGGAGAGAGGTATTGTCATACCTGAGCTGTAAGTCTCATGTCTTTTTCTCCCTCCGTCGTTACGACAACAACAGCTGATAGTTGAGTTACCTGTTGCATTGAGCTAATCTCCACAACCGAAATCTGTTCGAGCACTGCTTCCTTTACCTGAGGAAAGATTTCACAGACACAATCTAATTTCTGGTGTTTTGGCAAATTGCTCTTTAACTCTAGGGGCAGGAATGTTTTTTAAATGTGCAAGGGGGCAAATAAAGTATTTGGAAATTTTTATTTTGAGCTCACAATAAGGCCTAATGTCATCGTAGAATACCCTTTGTTTATCTTCAATGGCCATATTGGCTTCCTCTACTGCCGTCACTATTGAATATGCCATCTGTGCAGCCTCATCAACGTTTTCTTTATTTATAATCCCTCGGAGTGAGCTGTTCCCATCGCTTGTCGACGTTTCCACAAGTTTGAAAATATCTTTTGGAGGTATTGGTTTCACCTGAAAGAAGCGTTTTTGCTGAAATGACTGACTGACTGAATAAATGACGCACCGACTAATGAATGACCAACTCAGAGACTGACGGACTGACTGACTGACTGACTGACTAACTAACTCAACGATTGACTGATTGAAAAGGGTTATAGCCACGTCACCAAATGTTGATATACTGACCAGATTCCGATCGAAGATGAAAACGAGAAGAAAGTAACTACAAGTAGTTCAAAGCCTTTAAGAAATGACCAAAGATGATCTCTAGCGATCCCACTAGGGCGTAATCTTTTCTGTTACCCTAGTTCTTATTACAGATATAAGCTCAAGTGATCACGTAGATGCATTACCTGCACCTGAAATCGTTCAATTGCGGAGGCACCCATGAAGTCTGATACTCTGGCCTCTAATGTTATGTTTCCAAGTGGCAGCTGTGCGATGGCATAGGACTTTGGACCACTGTTTATCACTAAAAACCCTGACCTGGTCTGATACCTGAAGTAGAGAGGCATATATGTGGTTGGAGAGTTAAATATAACTACAATGACATCATTTTATAGAAAGTCTTCTTGGTATGAAATAAGATAAATTTTCATTTGGCTTTGTTATCCAATCATCACAATTTCTAAAATTAAAAAAAA